AGAGCCCTAACGGGTTTGGCTCAGGTGATAGAATGTTGGCCTGTGTACTGAAGGGCCCATGTTTGATTCCAGTCAAGGGCATGTACCGTGGTTGCAGGCACATCTCCAGTAGGGGGTCTGTAGGAAGCAGCTGATTGATATTTCTCTTTCATCGATATTTCTAACTCTCTATATCTCTCCCTTCCTCTCGGTAAAAAATCAATAAAATATATGTGTTTTTAAAAAGATAAAAAGAAAGGAAAGAAAAAGTTATTTCACTTTTTTAATTTTAAAAATTAGTATTGCCGAAACTGGTTTGGCTCAGTGGATAGAGCGTCAGCCTGTAGACTGAAAGGTCCCAGGTTCGATTCTGGTCAAGGGCATGAACATTGGTTGCAGGCACATCTCCAGTGGGAAGAGTGCAAGAGGCAGCTGATCGATGATTCTCTCTCATCGATGTTTCTAGCTCTCTATCTCTTTCCCTTCCTCTCTGTAAAAAACTAATAAAATATATATTTTTTAAAATAATAAAATTAGTATTATTTCATTTTTTATTATTTTATTTTATTATTTTCTTCCTTGCTTCTCCCTTTTTCATCCTGTTTTTTTTTCCTTGCCCCATAATGTAAATATCTGTGTTTTCCAATGGTCTTAGGCAACTCATAGGTTGAGCACTGCTGCTGTAGAGCCTAAGACCATTGGAAAACACAGATATTTACATTACAATTAATAACAGTAGCAAAATTACAGTTATGAAGTAGCAACAAAATAATTTTATGGTTGGGGGTCACTACAACATGAAGAACTTTATTAAAGGGACGTGGCATTAGAACGGTTGAGAACCACTGATCTAAATGATACTGTTTTTGAATAATTTGTTACCTTTAGAGAGTATTTAATTTGCTTCTGGCAGACCAATAGAAAAAGGGTTGATCATGTTCATCTACTCCAGAACAATTTGTTTATTGTTTGTTCATAATTCTGAATATAGCCCTTTGAGGTTGCAGCTGAAAATATTGGCTGAGTATCAAGATCCTCTATATGGATATTTCAACTCCAATTTCTATTTCTGCAGCACCTTGAGACTGCCAGAAGCAATACTTATATTCTTAGCCTTTTAGAAGTTATTTCTTGACCATGGTAGATATTCAACTTGAATCAGTGAATGCCTTAGGGAAAATTCTATGTAGGATATTGGCTTAAATCAATGGGTTGCTTTCAATCAAGGACCGTGGCTCTCTAGTTTTTGCTGCTTTGGTTGTTCATTAGTATTATCAAACAGTTTTTATTTTCATTTTTAGTTGTTTTCAGTAAGTTAGTCATGATAGCCAGAAACATAGCCAGAAACAGAAATCTCTTTTCCCACCTTTTGTTATAGTATTTCTACATTTTAAAGCAAATAACATGTAAATTATGTTTTGTAATTCCAATTCTCACATTAACAACACAGCATGTTAATATTAGTAATAGAGTTCAAAGATTCAATGCTCATACCAATCCTTATAACTTAGTTTTCTTTTTCTTTCTTTCCACATCTTTCTTGCTCTTCTTTAGTTTATTTCTTATTGCATTCCTCAAGAAAGGTTTATAGGTCCTAGTGAAATGTTCATGTAATTTTACTTTATTCAAATACACATCCTCACACATATTTAAACTTCAGAATAACAATAACAATATATGTAGTTATCAACAGTATGTTTACTGAAATTTTTAAATATTTTATTGTGTTTTTTACATTTTTGAAGTTATTATTCTTGGTTGTTTATTTTTTCCATATGGATTTTTCAATCAACATGTTTAATTCTAGGGAATATAAATCTATTTGTATTTTTTATTTGAGTTGCATTATTTTTGTGCCACCTCTCTTTTTGTATAATATGCATCTGTTGGAATTTACAGCAAGATGGCATTTCTGAGGGGCATTAAAGAAGCCAATCATGAGACTGGCATATTATTCTAATAAAAGACTCATGTGCAGTGCCAGCACAGCCAAGTTTTTGGTGAGCCTGAGGAGGGGCAGTGAAGGATTAAAGAAGACAGACGAAGAGAATATAGCTGGGGCTTTGTCAATCTCCATAATATAGAAGGTCTGGTGTACATCTCAGCAGGACAACCAAAGGGATTAAGATACATCTCCACCTATATATAACTCCATTCTGCAGGGAATTTGGGGAGGTGCTCCAAAATGCTGCAACATAGGTGGAGTTGTATCTTAATCTCTTTGATTGTCCTGCTGAGATGTCCTCCAGATCTTCTGTATTATGGTATTATGGCGGCAACTGGTGTTACCCTAATCAATAGGGATTAAGAAGTCTCATGAGAGCTGACCTGGATTTAGAGTATCAGCTACTAAATCTTATCAATGGTAACTTTATATATTTGTGTCTGGAAAACATGAAAGAAAAATATCTTCCTAAACTTTTAAAACATATACTTAAAAAGCCAACCATTCAAATGTACTTAAAATATAGTGTTTAACCCTGCCAGTGTTGCTCAGTGGTTAAGCATCAGCCTATGAATCAGGAGGTCACGGTTCAATTCCCAGTAGGCACATGCCCAGGTTTCAGGCTTGATCCATAATGGAGGCATGCAGAAGGCATCCCTCAGCAACCCAATGTTTGCATACAAGTTCATTGGTTGATCTCTTCCCACCAACCCTCCCTTGCCTTCCCTCTGAGATTCCAATAGTCTGTTGTTTATGCTTCTATGTCTCTGGGTCTATTGTTTTAAAATATATTTTTATTGATTCCAGAGAGGAAGAGAGAAGAAGAGAGAGATAGAAACATCAATGATGAGAGAGAATCATTGATCGGTTGCTTTCTGCACATTCCTCATTGGGGATTGAGCCCACAACCAGGCATGTTGCTTGATTGAAATCAAACCCAGGACCCTGCAGGCCAATGCTTTATGCATTGAGCCAAACCAGATATGGCTGGGTCTATTTTTCATCAATTTATTTGGTTCATTAGATTTCATATATGAGTTAGATCATGTGATACTTACCTTTCTCTGACTGACTTATTTCACTTAGCATAATACCCTCCAGCTCCATCCAAGCTGCTGAAAATGGTTGTTTCTTTTTGTATGGCCACATAGTATTCCATTGTATAAATGTACCACCATTTTTTTTTATCCACTCATCTGCTGATGGGCACTTGAGTGGTGTCCAGATCTTAGCTATTGTAAGTTGTGCTGCTATGAGCACAGAGGTGCATATATTCTTTCTTACTAATGTTTCAAGTTTCTTAAGATATATTCCTAGAAGTGGGCTTTCAGGTATCTAGAGGTTTTTTTTGTTAACATTCAATGCAAAAGTAGTACCGTGTTTCCCCGAAAATAAGACTGACTTACAGGTTTCCTTCTGAGTGAAATATAAGGCATCCCCCTGAAAATAACACCCACCCCCCCGCGCCTAGGCTAAACATGAGAGATTTGGTCCACTGATTCTGAAAGAAATGGAGTCACAAGAAATTCACCAGGAAATTCAGGAATTGGATTGTTATGATGATGTTCCAGAACATGATGACATGATTGTCATTGAATAAAAGAGTAAATTCTTGATACTGTAGGATTCAGTTTGTCTGGTTTGTGTTGACAACTACTGTACTACGTACCGTACACAGGTAGTAAATTTTCTTTATTTTAATTTAACAATAAATGTGTACCATATTCTTCTCTTCTTCATGGAAAAATAAGACATTCTCCTGAAAATAAGACCTAGCACATCTTTGGGAACAAAAATTAATATAAGACACTGTCTTATTTTCAGGGAAACAGGATAGATGATTGAATTTTAAGGGATTTCCCATTTGTATACTATCATTTTATCTGAAGTAATAAGTAAACTATTATCTTTAAAGTGCCTGAATCAGAAAATAAATAAATAAATACCTTGTATAATTTTAACAAATCAGGTGATTCTTATCCACACTTAAATCAAGTCCTCGCTGATTTAACTTCTTTCTTTAATTACGGGATTCTCTTCCTTTCCTGGGCTTTCCTTTGCCTCCTTTTTAATGTTTGAGAATACAGTCTGTTTCATAATATAACTAATACACCATAATACAAATTAGCTGAATAGTGCTATGAAATAGGGAATAATATCAGTATAATGTTGAAGTTAGTTGGTTCACAAGCAATATTCTTATTTGAATGGAGCCAGAATACTAGTATATTTATAACATTCAGAAGGAAAGGCAAAAGACTTCAGTTGATGTGTTGATATCTGCCCTTCCATCCCTATATTAAGAAAATTAATAATAAATGCTTACATCCAGGGCTCCCTCCTCAGAGACATATACAATCAACTTACATAGCTTTTAGCTAAACACCATGCACTTCACCTGATTCCCACCTTAATATTAGCCTCACTGGCCCAGGGCTTTATTTTATATGCAACATTTCAGCACCTGAAGTCCAGCATTTCCACTTAATTTTTATGCATTTTTATTTTTTATTAATTTCAGAGGGGAAGGGAAAGGGAGATAGAAACATCAATGATGAGAGAGAAACATTAATCGGCTGCTTTTTGCCTGTTCCTTACTGGGGATTGAGCCCACAACCGAGGATATGCCCTGACTGGGAACAGAACTATGACCTTCTGGTTCATAAGTCAATGCTCAACCACTGAGTCATGCTATTGGGGCAATTTTTATGCACCTTAATACCCACAAAATGGCCTTCAACCATACTGAGCTGCTTTTTGGGTTCCCTTGGGGTCCCTATTTTATTACTAGTAGTTAATGGTCTGCTAATATAGTTGCATAGACTTGAGTGTTATTCTCCAGCCCTTCTTTCTTCATAAACTCTAGTTTTTGATTTGTAATTTTGAAGGAGTTAGTTTTTATAGGTATACATATAGTATTGTAGCACAAATACCTATGTTCTAGAGATGTCTAATTCATTCACTTATAATAGGCATTATTTTAGGTTCACTTTATTTCTCTGAAAAAGTTTTTTTCCTACTGGAAAACAAACAAACAAACAAAACCACATGTGTTTGCTTTCTTCTTTTCTTTCAGATTTGGAATCCAGATACAAGACTAATACTTTATCTTCAGAAAAGGATATTTGTGAAATATATTCATTCCAATTGGAAGTAATGGAAAAAATTAAAAGCTATTGCCTTCAGAATTCTATTTTTAGAAATGATTGGGAATGCAAAAGTAAGATCGAGGGGCAAATGGAGCCACAAGAAGGATGTTTGGAGCAAGTGAAAATTACTTCTGGAAAAATGACCACTTACAAAAAGCATAATTTTCTTGCTGAATATCAGAGAGTTCATAATAGGGAAAAGTTATATGAATGCAAGGAATGTAGGAAGACCTTTATTCGTCGCTCAACACTTAGTCAACACCTGAGAATTCATACTGGTGAGAAACCTTATAAATGTAAGGAATGTGGGCAGGCTTTTAGACAGCGTGCACATCTTATTCGACATCACAAACTTCATACTGGTGAGAAACCCTATCAATGTAAGGAATGTGGGAAGGCCTTTACAGTGCTCCAAGAACTTACTCAACATCAGAGACTTCATACTGGTGAAAAGCCCTATGAATGTAAAGAATGTGGAAAGGCCTTTAGAGTACATCAGCAACTTGCTCGACATCAGAGAATTCACACTGGTGAGAAACCCTATGAATGTAAGGTGTGTGGGAAGACCTTTAGACAGTGTACACACCTTACTCGGCATCAGAGACTTCATATTGCTGAGAAGCTCTATGAATGTAAGCAATGTGGGAAAGCCTTCGTGTGTAGTCCAGACCTTCGAGTACATCAGAAAATTCATTTTGGTGAGAAGCCCTTTGAATGTAAGGAATGTGGAAAGACTTTTAGGATATGCCAACAACTTACTGTCCATCAGAGTATTCATACTGGTGAGAAACCCTATGAATGTAAGGAATGTGGGAAGACTTTTAGATTAAGACAACAACTTGTTCGTCACCAGAGAATTCATACTCATGAGAAACCCTATGACTGTATGGAATGTTGGAAGACCTTTAGTAGTTACTCACAACTTATTTCACATCAGAGCATTCATATTGGTGAGAGACCTTATGTATGTGAAGAATGTGGGAAGGCCTTTAGACTGCTTTCTCAACTTACTCAACATCAGAGTATTCATACTGGTGAGAAACCCTATGAATGTAAGGAATGTAGAAAACCCTTTAGACTATTCTCGCAACTTACTCAACATCAGAGTATTCATACTGGTGAGAAACCTTATGAATGTAAGGAATGTGGTAAGGCTTTTAGACTTTATTCATTTCTTACTCAACATCAGAGAATTCATACAGGTGAGAAACCCTACAAATGTAAGGAATGTAAGAAGGCCTTTAGACAGCATTCACACCTTACTCAACATCAGAAAATTCATAATGGAATTTAGTACAAGAAAGCCTTGATATGTACATTATGTTACAGAATATCACAAAATTCATTTTTGAGAATTGTTTTCATGCTATAGGAAAATATTTGCTTTAAAAGTCTTCCTTCACCATTCAAATATTGCCCCTAGCAAATGTATGTCAGAGAATAATACAATTAATATAAGAAAAACTTTAGCTTTCTTTATCATTGTCTCCATTTCACTACTTTATTACAACTTTGTTACTGGACAAGGTACTTAAACTTCTGTGCCTCATCTTGTTCACTTGCAAAATGGTGATACTATGTATATTATTTATTGCTATGTAATAAATTACCACAACTTAATAGCTTAAAATAATACATATATATTATTTTACAATTTCTATGGATTGGGAGTTTGGGTGTTACTTAGTTGGGTTTTCTGCTTCAGAATTCTGCTTCAGAATTTTCCATGAGGCTAAAATCAAAATTTTAGCTAAGGCTGTGTCTGATCTGAAGGCTTAACTGGGAAAGGGATCTACTTTCAACCTCATATGGTTGTTGGCTGAATTTATTTTCTTAAGGGCTACTGCACTGAGGTCCTAAGTTTCTGACTGTTGTCAAAAGGCTAACCCTCAGTTCCTTGACACATAGGCCTCTTCAACATGGCTGCTTCATCAACAAATAGTCTGCTAGAATCTTAAAACTTAAAATCTTGTGTAGTATAATCACTGAAGGAATATTTCATCACTTTGTGTCTTCTATTGGCTAGAAGCAAGTTTCTAGATTGCCTACACTCAAGGTAAGAGGATTCCATAAGAGTGTGAAGACCAGGAGGTAGGGACTACTGAGCCAGTTTAGAGAAAGCCTGTGTACACTGTAATAAAATTGTAAGGATTAAGTAGTTAATACTTAGAAAAATAGCAGCCACATAGCATGTTTAGTGTACATATTACCTGTAATTGTTATCATTAGTATTAGTAAATTCATGTGAAAGGAATTTCCTATGGAAGTAAAACATTGAGAAATGCCTATTACTGCTCAGGATGTATCTAATTTATTCTGGATAAAACCTAGAATGTTATATTGAATGTAAAAAGTTCATCATTTAAGCTGCATCAGAAATTTAATGCTGAAAAGAAAGCCTTAAAAATTTCATGAATATTATGTTAAGAGTACAACTCTGGAAAACTCAAAGAGAAACATGAAATTATTTCCCCATAATAAATTCCTGAAATTGAAGATTTATTATCTCTATTGTCTGAGTACCATTCAAAATTAATTAGAAACTATCAAAAAGTGGCAAAAAGGAAATAAATCATTTGGAAATTTAATATTGTATGTGCATATGCATGTGTGTTTGTGTTTGTGTGCATAAAACACTTGTATAAAAGGAAAAAAATATATTTATTTTCTTTTTTACAGTCAGTATAACTTTTGGTGCTCAAATTGTCCCATCTTCAACCACTGGAAGTTGGATCTTTTGAAATGACCTCCCTAATAGGTAGTTTACTTGGTTATGGCTATACAGTTTGTCAGCTATGGATGGTGCCTATGCACCAACTCATCCTGAAAATTGACAAGGGTTAAATAATTTATTTTGTTTTTCCCTTTTGAAAAAGTTTTATAACCAACAAAAGCTCATCAGATTAAAATAATTTTTAAATCTAGAAAATACAGAGCAATTTATAAGATTAGAAAAAAAACACTACTTTCTAGTTTCCTAATGGAATAATGGGTCCAGAAGGTAATCAGTAAATATTACAATTATTAAGTGAAAGATTTTAGAGTGAGTATGCTAGAATGATTTTGGCAAGCTGACCACCTCTGAATCTGTACATCAGTTTTAGTCTCTATAAAAGTGGGACTATCAGACTATTCATCTCCTGAAAGAAGAATGCACCACTACTTATAAAACCTTATTTCCAACATCATGAACTTAAGGAATTAAGGCTTTACATCAAATTATTTTAAACCAAGAATTAGTAGAATAGATGAATAAAATAAATGGCAACACAACCAAGCAGCCAAACAGATCTAGAATGTGTAAAATTCTACAAAATAACCTACTTTGTTCAAATAATGAGTGGCATGAAAAAAAAAAAGAAAAGGGAGGGAAACTGTTAGATTAAAAGACAAGAAACATCAACTAAATTTAATGTGTGGGTATTACTTGGACCTACTTTGAACAAAATGTAAAAATATTTTGGAAACTGGAGGAAATATGGACATGCACCGAGTTAATTAGATAATATTTAGAAATAATTTTGTTAAGGATGATCATGTCAATGTGGTTATTAAGAAATATAAGTGTTCCTGTGTGTTAAAGTTACATGCTTATATGTTTATGAAATGACTAGAAAATTCATGCACTGGAGGAGGGGGTGTCACTCAGCCCAGCCTGCCCCCTCTCACAGTCCAGGAGCCCTCAGGGGCAGGCTATCAGAGGAATATGATGTCCCATCACACTTCTGCTGCTGCCACTGCCGGCAGCACAAGCCTCAGCCTGCCCTGGTTACCTGAGACTCAGGTGGCCTAGTATGGCTGGGCAGCTGCCATCTGAGGCTTGCCTGTGCCTTGGGCCGGCCCTGGGCAGCTGAGTGGCTGAAGGGACTGGGCACCACCCTCTTGTGGCTGTAGGTACCACCATCTTTGAGGGTATGGCAGTCAATTAGCATATTTCTTAGTGGCTGTTGCTATATTTGTGACAGTGTGAGGGTCAATTAGCATATTCCCTCTTTATTAGATAGGATAAGATATCCAGATTTACATTAAAATACTCCAGCAATAGAAAAAGAATGAAAGAAAACTGGAAAGGAGATTGACAAAATGTTGAAATCTAATGAAGTGGAGTGGTTCATATATGGGGGTTCAAAATAATATTTCTACTGTTTGTTTTTTAAGGTTTTAATAAAAATATTTAATATCAAAACTGAAATTATAGACTACTTAGAAATTATTGTTAATGAGATGCCTGTATATGTAAACTTGTCAGATATCTCCAAAGTTCTGTTCAGGAAGAAATGAATATCCTTTCATAAGTTAAGGAAACTGTGGACTGGACACAGTCTTGATCTTTTTCACTTATCCATAGCAGTCAAATCTGGATCTCTCACATCCATAAATGTATTTGTGTTTAAGGAATGAATAAGTATTTACATAAAGACATCAGAAACAACAAAATAAAACTAACACCAGAGAAGTAAAGTACAATTAAAAAGTAGAAATTAAGAGACTAGACAATATAGACTTAATTGAATGTTTTTAAAGTTTTTTTTTCAATTACAGTTGATATTCAATATTAGTTTCAGGTGTACAGCATAGTGGTTAGACATTTATATAACTTAAGAAGTGATCCCACAATAAGGCTTAGTTCCCACCTGATAACACACATAATTATTACAATACTAGTGGCCCAGTGCACAACATTTATACATGGGTTGAAGGGTTCCTCAGCCCAGCCTGCACTCTCTCCAGTCGGGGACCCCTTGGTTCTGGCTCCTAACTGCTCACCTGCCTGCCTTTCTGATCACCCCTAACTGCCTCTGCCTGCCTGATCTACCCTAACTGCCCTCCCCTGCAGGCTTGATCTTACTCCCAACTGCCCTCCCCTGCTGGCCAATCTTGCTCCCAACTACCCTTCCCTGCCGGCCTGATCGCCCCTAATGGCCCCTGCCTCAGCTCCCTCCACCATGGCTTTGTCCAGAAGGAAGTCGGATGTCTGGTAGATGATCGATCTGGTCTAATTAGCATATTACTCTTTCAGTAGTATAGATAGATTACATAGGATAGGATTGCTTAAATGGAAGGGGGAAGCCTTTTTCATCAGGAGGAGATGCTCTTGGCAGATAAAAATACATAATCCTTATATCTGGACTGATAGCCAGCCATATGCACTATACTGACAAAGCAGTCATTAAAAAATTGAACCATTTTTTACACCTTACAGCAAACAGCTGTTGTCCTTAAAATCCCTCTTCAGCCCCCACCTTAGGTTCTGCCTTCGCAGTTCACCCAGAATAAGTTCTGATTGGTCAGTTTCCATACCAGTGTTAAAAGCTTCACCTTCTAGGTAGCCTTTGACTACTCACACTTAACCTAGATTTGATTCTGATTGGTCAGTTTCTATGCCAGTCAGCATCTACAGGACTATCAACAGGCCTGATCAGAGAGGCAGAGCTGATCAGCAGGCCCAGTGGAGGCCCAAGAAAAAGAGAGGTGCGGCTTCTGGCCAGGCCTGGAGCAAAAGAGAGATGCAGCCAAAACCGGTTTGGCTCAGTGGATAGAGCGTCGGCCTGCAGACCGAAAGGTCCCGGGTTCGATTCCGGTCAAGGGCATGTACCTTCGTTGCGGGCGCATCCCCAGTAGGGGGTGTGCAAGAGGCAGCTGATTGATGATTCTCTCTCATCAATGTTTCTAACTCTCTATCCCTCTCTCTTCCTCTCTAAAAAAAATCAATAAGATATATTAAAAAAAAAAGAGAGAGAGAGAGAGAGAGAGAGAGATGCAAGTGGTGATCAACAGCTGCTATGGAGGCTATGGATCAGACGCTGTTTGTCTCTCCAGGCCTCTCTGTGCCTGATCCACAGCCCCCTCAGCAGTCGAGCTGGGTGGGTTGCCCAGAGCACAGCAGTCAGTGCTGGGTCACCATGGCAACCTACCACTGACTTCTGGTTGGTCAAGCCTTGGGTCATCTTGGATGTTACAGACCCTGGTTTTTTATATATTAGGATTACTAACTATATTTTCTATGGTGTACTTTACAGCCCTGTTACTTTTGTAACTGCCAATTTGTACTTTTTCCTTTCACTTTTTTCATCCAGGCTTCCAACCCATTCCCATCTGACAAACATCAATTCTCTGTATCATGAGCTCATTTCTGTTTTGTTTGTTCACTTATTTTTGTCTTTTAGATAGATATATAAGTGAAATCAGATGGTATTTGTCTTTCTCTGCCTGACTTATTTCACTTATCAAAATAATATCTCCTAATTCCATCCATGTTGTTACAGATGGCAAGATTTCATTCTTTCTGGCAGA